AAAACGTAACAAACCATTACTTCATGCAGCTGAACTAGAAATTATTGTTTCATGTGGAATTAATAATTGCATTTTCATTATGGATTTTAACTGACAAAGCTGTAGGCAAAGAGCATTATATTGAAAGCAGAACTATTTTAAGTCAATCACAATGAAACACCATGAGCGGGCAAGGAATATGCAAGAGCATGCTGGTGGAAATGAAACTCCAAGTTATTAAAATATTATTCCTATCTATAAATGGTGTTGTGGGGTAGGGGAGATGTAAGGCAGCAAGAAAAATGAAAATCATAATAATTATATCCATTAGGATACACTCTTCCTTTCCTCTGTATTTGAAAGTTCAAAAGTTGCTGTAAACATGCCTGATAAGAGATTGCATGTCAGTATGCAAACTTTCAACAAGAGTACTGCTGAATTAATTCTAAATAGATACATACCCTACCAGACTATCCCTAATGTTAGATATGTCCCTCAAGTAGGCTCTTAACTAAAATGGAGAGCCTACATTATTGCCCTAGCTTTCTTTGGAAAAATGCACAGTACAAACATGTTTTTGGCTTTATTTAGTTCAGAGACTACTTTGCTTTCTACTATTATGACAATCAAGGTCAGCGAAGCATCATCTTGCCAAAACCACCTGCGTGCGACATTGGAGATCCACCCATGTCACTGCAATCTTTGGATGAGTCCCTTTCTGGTTCTGTTACCTGGGTTTGGAAGAGGGCCTTTTCTGCTATGGCACTCCCTTTGTGGATCTCCCTATGGAGATCAGGAGAGCACTAACAATGGAATGCATACACAGACAATTAAAATATCTTTTTATTTTTCCCATTTTTATTTCCCCCAGCTGTTTACTGATTGATTTTCATTGTTGGTTCTGGCTGTGGTAATTAGTGAAATTATGCTTTATGCTTATCTGGGTGTTATAATTGTTGCTGGTGATTACTGGTCTTAATGGTTTTTATGAATATTGTGAATCAGTTTGAATAAAAAATTAAACATTTAAATGATTAAATCATTTAAATAAAATGGTAAACATACATTTTAAAAAATAAAATAAAGAGGGACTTACAGATATTGGTGAATAATATATAATTTGCTTGCTCTAAACTGATAAGTGTGTCTAACTACTGATAATATTCATTAATATGGAAAACAGTGTAACTGGGAATCCCATTTCACGTAAAGTCAGCAATACAACTTTAACTGCCCAAAAGTAAAAACATGACAATATGGTGCCTTCCATGTATTGTTGCAACTATAGCACAGTTCAGAATTATGAGCAATTTTTTAATGATGTCGAACTGCTGCAAGTGTGACAGCTCTCATTTGCCTCATGCTTGTCTTAAAGAAGCTTTCTAGCATCAATGCATTATCTTCAGGGATTCTAATGCAACCCTTTGGCCTTTAACAGTATTAAAAAAAAAATACTATGGAAGATGAGCCAGCTTTTCTAATGAATGTTCTTCTGCACCTGATCCCATTTTAAGGAGTTTGTTAGACTTTAAAGGCATGGTTGGTGAGTAGTCAGGATATCTGCATTACTGTTTTGGCCCATATTAACCTCCCATTTTTATTTATGCTTTTTTTTTAAGACCTGAAGAAAAGGCCTTGCTATGATTCCATTCATTGCATGAAAGGAGGGTGGGGTGCCAATGGGTTCTGTTATTGCCCTGTAGCTTTAGAACAAGTTATGCCAGGAGGTCCACCTATCATTGGTAGAGTTCAGGCACAGACAAGAAGACTATTCTCTCATGTATGACATCTGTTACTAAAATAGCAAAGCACAGAAGAGTAACTACTGTATTATCATTACTAGTGTTTACTGAATAAACACAACATTAGACAAATTAGCCCGTCCTAGTTGAAAGAGCAAACCTGAAGAGACTTTCCTCAGCTAGACTAGACATTGAAATCCCTGCCTAGATAATTCAATACAACGGCTTGAGGTAGAGGTGTGGTAGAGGAGGACTATCTGTCATTTACATGTAGTAGAAGCATCAGTGATTCTAGGTAAAGAGATGTTATTTACATGTAGTTTCAGGACATAATAGATTTCACTTGGCTCTTCGTTTCTTAAAAAAAAATTATTTGGGTGGGTCAGCTCTACAAGTATTACATACATTCAGTGTCCGCATTTGTTTAACACAGTCACAACAAAAACTACAAATTGTTATCCAATTATACATTGTATCCCTCCCAAAAAGGTACGGAGAAGTTGGGGGATGCATTTCTTCTCTGTGACAATCTACGAACACAAAAAGGGAACTATATTTAATTAAATTTATCCTGCTGTATTTCTCACCAGCTTCATTTTACAACTGCTTGTCAACTTCTCAGGTAATGATGTTGCCTTTGACCTGAAAAATTCTTGCTGAATTTCCAGAAATGTGATGTTTCCATGTGGGCCCATTATTAACCTGTATTAACAGATCCTTATGCACCAATTGTGATATATATTAAATATCCTAAGAACGGCCAAGACTGGATCCCACTGAACATTCTGTGTTATAATATCACTAACAGTCAAAACTAATGTGTACCAAAAGGACTTATTTTTATCAAACTGCCTTGTTTTAGTATCTTCAGCCTCTGGCTTTTTATTTGAAACAGACGGCTTGGCGCCTTTTCAAATTTCACTCTTCAGCCTGCTCTTTTGTCCAATCAACATCACATTTCTGCCTCCACTCCCCAATTTTTCTTTACCTTCTTGAGTACACCACCGCCACATTTTTTTCTTAGATTATCAAACTGTCATCTGTATTATTCTGCAAAAACTGTTTTAGTTTATATTTCTTGCTATCTTCTCCCTGCTGAAAAAAAATAGATTGTTCCTCTGTTCCTGTTTGGCTCAGTCTATCTTCAGCACTCTGATACTGTCAGTCATTCTTGTCTTACTGAATTTCTTGCAGGTTTGGGATCTTGTTCTTATCAGAACATTCACTCTTTTTTTGTAGATCTGTTCATGGCACGCCATTCTCCATTCTTTCCACTCCAGTGGAAAATGTGTGATTCCTGGCCCTATTATTTCCATTTGTATTTTCCATTTGTACTTTTACTTAATCCTCTGGTTTCAAGTGCCATTTTTATGTTGACTATATCCCATTACATCCTTCTTCCTGCTATATCTGCATCTATTTGACCGTCTTCCATGTCCAGAATTTTCATCTGAATTTTAATGTGCCCATGACAGAATACTTAACCAGATACTAGTTAATGTATATTGTTATATTTTATTTAAACCTCTTAGGTTTTATGAATAAGCTGCCTATAAATTATGTTAAATAAATAAATAAAATGTTCCACTCTTTTGCTACTCTAATTCTATTACAAAATTTTCTCATTTCTGTCACTATAATATACAGTGGTACCTCGGGTTACAAACACATTGGGTTACAAACACATCGGGTTACAAACACATCGGGTTACAGACTCCGCTAACCCGGAAGCAGTACCTCGGGTTAAGAACTTTGCCCCAGGATGAGAACAGAAATCGTGCGGCGGCGGGGGGAGGCCCCATTAGCTAAAGTGGTACCTCAGGTTAAGAACGGTTTCAGGTTAAGAATGGACTTCCAGAACAAATTAAGTTTGTAACCAGAGGTACCACTGTACATATCTAAGATTCTTATGACTTTGTCCAGATATTGCCAAAACTTTGTTTGAAGCACCTGCTATTTTACAAGTTGATTGTTGTAATATTTGTTTTCTCTGCCTTCCTCATTCTGACTTTCCTGCTTTTTTTCTATTTTAATTCTGCTATTCGGCACATTTTCATCCACTTTTTCATTATCAGTTCCCTTTTATTTTACCTTCTTATTTCCTGCTCATGACACTGACTTTTTTCCATCCCACACTGAATGCAAATAGAATTTTCAAATTAGAGCATGATCATATCCCTTCTATCTCCGCTTCCCCATTTCTTGTTATTATCGCCATAATTATGACATTCTTATTCCTCACTTTCTTGTTCAGACCCTCTTTGGCCTCTTCTTACAACAGGGGTGGGGGATCTTCTTCAACACGTAGTCTGCATTGCCCTTCTGAGCAATGTCCCAGAGGCCACATGCAGTAGATATAATGTGAATTTTACCTTTGCAGTAGTTTCTACACACACACTAGTTTCTACACACACTCACACGCACACACTCACCCCTCCAACCTTCTATCTGAGTGGCCACTGTGAGAAAAGGATGCTGAACTAGATGGGCCATTGGTCTGATCCAGCAGACTCTTGCTATGTTCATCAAGGGAAGTAAGAGCCATTATAAGAGTTCAAGCCCACATTCAAGTCAGGCAAAACTATTACAGAGGAGGAGGGGTGTCTGGCCTAAGGAAGAGGCCTGGAGGGGCCACATAAGTCTCCAGCGGCCTGAGGCTGCCCATTCCTGTCTTATGAGTCAGAACTGCCAATCCCCTCATCTACACATCATGCTATTATAGTCTCCCCTTTAAAACATGTCTTAAAGGTGACTTCATTTCTCTGACCTTCCATTCCTGACAGATGTCTTTTCACCTCGTGGTCAGCAATAATTTAAATTTACTTTGTGGCACGTCCCTCAAATTGTTAGACCACTTCTTTATTTTTCTACTACAATATTAGCTATTATTAATATTAGCTACTACAATATGAGCTATTTTATAAATGATTATTTTAAAATATACAGAAATCACACTAGAAACAGCCCCAGTACATTTCATCATGAGAAATAAGCACAAATTCTGAGGATGGCACTGAAAATCCATTTTGGTTGTGCCATACTTGCTTACAAGCAGGCTTCAAGATTTGGTTGCCACACTCACCATGGCAACTGTGCTACAGCCCCCCAGTGCTCATTATGAGCAAATAGGCTTTCTTGCAACTATGAAACGGCAGAGGCAAGTGCAACATAGAGAGCTGCCTTATACTGTGGCAATTGGTCTATCTAGCTCAGTATTGTGTACACTAACTTAGAAGCAGCTCTCAAGGGTTTCAGGAACGGGTCTCTCCAGACCCTACCTGGGGATGCAAGGGATTGAACTTGCACCTTCCATATCCAAAGCAGATGCCCTACCAATTGAGCTACAGCCCTTTCCCAAAGGTCCAAAGTGGGCAGGAAAGTTGGAGGTTGTCTATTCATTCAGAGATGGGACAGATCCTTCAAGTCACTCATGCACTGCGATTGCCTCAGAGCGGCCAAACCAGAGGGAGCTGTTTTGCTGCTTGGAGGTGGGCACCTACTGTGCCTTATCTCAGTGCACCAAGCCCTCTGCCATTCTTTCCCATGAGAAAGGGTTTGGTTCATCTGTTTCTGGACAGAGGCTCTTAGGGAGGTCTTACTGGAAAGGTTGCAAAGTGGGAGCTGGTGAATACAGGCAAAAGCTATAGACATTTGTTTTTAGACAACATTTGAATCAAATGTACAATGTTCATTACCAATACTTGTACTGTAATATATACAGCAACTTATACTGTAATGCATTCAAGAGTTTCAGTGGTAGTGCTGGTTGCAATGAAGGTCCTGACAATAATTGACCAAGTTGCTCTGATATCACAGTGCAGAATGCCTTATGAAATGAGGGCCATGGGCAACAATCATGAGAGGCCAGGCATCTAATCAATGAGGATGAGAAGTGGTCCACACTAGAGGACCAAGGAAAATAGATGGACAAAGGGGAAGTATCAGAGAGCAAAACAAACTAGAAATGAGAACTAGCAAAGAGGTGCAGAAATTGCCAGAAGCTACTTCAGGTCACATATTGATTTGAGATGGTCAACTTAAATCTTTGGCTGCATGCCTCTAGCTCTCTATTATTATAAAACTTTCCTATCTGCATATCCTGCTACCAGATCAAAATATTGCTGTCAAGAATCATGAACCAATGTCAACCAATATTTAGATTCTGGCTTGGGTTCTCCGGTCATTCCCTGTCATTCCCTAAATAAATTAATACTAATACTAATAATTTTATTATTTATACCCCACCCATCTGGCTGGGTTTCCTCAGCCACTAGACTGCTTCCAGCAGAATATAAAAACATAATAAAATGTCAAATGTTAAAAACTTCCCAATACAGGGCTGCCTTCAGATGTCTTCTAAAAGTTGTGTAGTTCTTTATCTCCTTGACATCTAATGGGAGGGCGCTTCACACGGAGGGTGCTATTGCCAAGAACACCCTCTGCCTCGTTCCCTGTAAATTCATTTCCTGTAGTGAGGGAACCGCCAGAAGACCCTCAGAGGTAGACCTCAGTGTCCGGGCTGAATGAAGGGGGTGGAGACACTTAGAATCATAGAATCATAGAGTTGGAAGAGACCACAAGGGCCATCGAGTCCAACCCCCTGCCAAGCAGGAAACACCATCAGAGCACTCCTGACATATGGTTGTCAAGCCTCTGCTTAAAGACCTCTAAAGAAGGAGACTCCACCACACTCCTTGGCAGCAAATTCCACTGTCAAACAGCTCTTACTGTCAGGAAGTTCTTCCTAATGTTTAGGTGGAATCTTCTTTCTTGTAGTTTGGATCCATTGCTCCGTGTCCGCTTCTCTGGAGCAGCAGAAAACAACCTTTCTCCCTCCTCTATGTGACATCCTTCTATATATTTGAACATGGCTATCATATCACCCCTTAACCTCCTCTTCTCCAGGCTAAACATGCCCAGCTCCCTTAGCCATTCCTCATAAGGCATCGTTTCCAGGCCTTTGACCATTTTGGTTGCCCTCCTCTGGACACGTTCCAGTTTGTCAGTGTCCTTCTTGAACTGTGGTGCCCAGAACTGGACACAGTACTCCAGGTGAGGTCTGACCAGAGCAGAATACAGTGGCACTATTACTTCCCTTGATCTAGATGCTATACTCCTATTGATGAGGCCCAGAATTGCATTGGCTTTTTAGCTGCCGCGTCACACTGTTGGCTCATGTCAAGTTTGTGGTCAACCAAGACTCCTAGATCCTTTTCACATGTACTGCTCTTAAGCCAGGTGTCACCCATCTTGTATTTATGCCTCTCATTTTTTTTGCCCAAGTGCAATACTTTACATTTCTCCCTGTTGAAATTCATCTTGTTTGTTTTTGCCCAGTTCTCTAATCTGTCAAGGTCGTTTTGAAGTGTGATCCTGTCCTCTGGGGTGTTAGCCACCCCTCCCAGTTTGGTGTCATCTGCAAATTTGATCAGGATGCCCTTGAGTCCGTCATCCAAGTCGTTGATAAAGATGTTGAATAAGACTGGGCCCAAGACAGAACCCTGTGGCACCCCACTAGTCACTCTTCTAAGGTATACTGGACTGAGGCCATTTAGTGCTTTAAAGGTCAGTACCGGCACATTGAATTGTGCTCGGAAGCATACTGGGAGCCAGTGAAGATCCAACTGGAACTGGTGTTATTTTGTCCCAACAGCCACTCCCAGTCACCAGTCTAGCTGCCACATTCTGGATTAGTTGTAGTTTCAGAGTCACCTTCAAAGGTAGCCCCATGTAGAGCTCATTGCAGTAGTCCAAGCAGGAGATAACCAGAGCATGTACCACTCTGGTGAGACAGCCTGCAGGCAGGTAGGGTCTCAGCCAGTGTCTTAGATGGAGCTGGTAGACAGGTGCCCTGGATACAGAACTGACCTGTGCCTCCCTGGACAGCTGTGATTCCAAAATGACTCCTAGGCTGTGCACATGGTCCTTCAGGGGCACAGTTGCCCCATTCAGGACCAGGGAGTCCCCCACACCACCCACCCCGTCCCCACCATCCATCCTCCAACTGCCCTCAGACACTCACACTAAAACTGGTATATCAACCATGCTATGCTGCCCAGAAATCTTATGAAGAATATGGATATGGGTCACAAATTAACAGAAAATATTTTAAATAGCTCAGATCCAAATTAAACGTTATGTGTCACTCTACAAAGGTAATTTAAAAATGAACTCTGAATTAATTTATACATGTTGAGCGCTTATTTGCAGCCTCTTTAAACTGCATTCATGACCTTCTCTGAAATAAACTGAGGTCCTTCTTTTCCATGTAAACAAACAACCATGGATGAAAGTGACTTTTGAGGTCAAGCATTATAAATATGACACAGCAGGTTGTACATTATTGTAGTAAATTCTGAATATTTTATGCTTTGCCAGCCAAATGGCACAAACGTTTAACATTCTATCCTGCCCTTCCTTCTGAATTTCTGAGTATGTGCAGTCTGATCTATTTGACTGCAAGCTACTGGGCTGTGTCCAATGACAACTCAGAGTAGACCCACTGAAACCAATAGAGCTAAATTAGCCATCTCTATTAATTTCAAGAGGTCCACTTTGAATACAACTAGCACTGGATACACTCCAATATGTTTACTAGATTTTAGGAACCAGTTAGTATTAATGAGGAAATCACAAAATGGTTAACTATTTAAGCAATTTTAAATAGTTTCCCACTGGCCATTTAAATGACAGCCTACCCCACTTACAATGTATTTTCCTGGAAGGCCACACCATGCACATCAAAGCACACTGGAGCTCACAGCCTCACCCTTCTTTTAAAATCTTTCCCATCCTGCTCTCCTTTCCCATTTCTCAATCCACACCATGCCCTTGCTTGAACTGCTTTATCATGTCTGATCTTGCCTGCTCCATACTGTAAGCTCTGTCAAGCAGGGGAAACTGCCTACTGTATTCTGCAAACTTTGTCTGTCATGGAAATCATTAAATAATAATTAGAGAATCTAAGTCAGATAGTAAATCAAGTCCAAATAGCTTCTATTTACAATTTCAAAAGGCATGAACAAAAAGAGCAGTTTTAAGATCAAACACTTTAATTACAAGCTCTTTAACTGACTTGTGGAATTCACTACTGCAGGATATGATTAAGTCAACTAGATTCCTTGTGTCTTTAAAAATGATTTGTGACACAACAAACAAAGCTGATTATGCACTAGCTAGAATAAAAGTACAAGGTCTAATAATCCTTGTGGTTTGGGGGCTCTACAAGCATTTTCATTTCAGTGACAATATACACTACTATCTCCTTAACTACCTTTCACAGCTGAGGTGTCTTAGTACGTCATGGTTTGATGTGAGAAAACAAGGTTCATGTCCAAACCTCACCTGTACACTCTATATCAGGTATGGCCAACCATTTGAGACCCAGGATGCACTTTTAACCCAAACATTGATTTGGGGACCAAATTTTTAACCTTCTACCGTATATCTGCACGGCAGTAGTGTTCGTGTTGCAACCCACTTTGAATCAGACCATGACCCGCTAATGGGTCCCATTCCACCAGGTAAAGATCAGTGCATTAGATGGCTTTATCCATCTCTCTCTAGCCTTTAACTGCTACTTTACAAAATGGGAATAATAGTAACCCTACCTTGCTGGCCTGTTGCAAGAATGAATGAAATAAAAGATTAACACTCTCCAGGAGCCCTTATAATTGGATGGTCCAAGTAGGCCAAAGTCTTATATACTGTGATGTGGAAACCAGCTCATAGTACGCAAGTTTTCTAAATTAAGTTCCCAAAATATAATACTAACAGTATTAAAGTATTTTCCCCCTGTGGTTTATTAAATGCCTGTTAAAGAGGTACAGATGGTAAAGGTAAAGGTACCCCTGACCGTTAGGTCCAGTCGCAAGTGACTCTGGGGTTGTGGCGCTCATCTCACTCTATAAGCTGAGGGAGCCGGCGTTTGTCCTCAGACAGCTTCTGGATCATGTGGCCAGCATGACTAAGCCCCTTCTGGCAAACCAGAGCAGCACACGGAAACACTGTTTACCTTCCCGCCAGAGTGGTACTTATTTATCTACTTGCACTTTGACGTGCTTTCGCACTGCTAGGTGGGCAGGAGCTGGGACTGAACAATGGGAGCTCACCCCGTTACAGGGATTCGAACCGCCAACCTTCTGATCGGCAAGACCTAGGCTCTGTGGTTTAGACCACAGTGCCACCCGCATCCCTCCAAATACTGCCTTTAGGTAAATGACATAGCTATAACCTGTTCCAAGACAGAATAAATTGCATCCCATACTTGCAACAGCTCAACTTCAGAGCTCACAGCATTGGACTTTTACATTTGTGCTGAGGTCACTGAAAATCTGTAAACTGTAATATCTCAGTTGATCAACAAAGCTCTAATAATTGATTACAGTTTGCAGCTAACTGAAAGAAAATTTATTCACTCTAACACTTTAATCTTATTTAGGAGTTTTAAAATGCTGAGATCTACTTTTGGCAATTATTAGAGTAATTGTTGCCATCACACACCTCTGAAGCAGAATAGAAGGCCAGAGAAGTAAAGGGAATTGGGAGTGAAGGACATACTTGGATATATGCAGTGCATGGGGGGGTGGGGAAGAGAGAGAAAGAAAGAAACACACTAAATACCATATTTCTTTTACCAATAAAAGAATGCCATCTTTATTCTTCATATCATTACCAGCTTATGTATACTTGGGTGGCAATTTGCACAGTAAACACAGATATTTGAACTCCAGGTGGTTTTCATTCACAGAAGCCCTTCATTCTTACTTGCCTAAGAGCAAAGAGTTTTAGAATATCAGTGTTCATTCAAGAGCACAAGCACACCAGCACTGGGAAACATTTTGATTCATATGTTTTCTAAGAGCAGCAGTAAATGAAACACTGTAAAACAGGGTCAGGCCAGCCAGTAGGCAAAGTTAAGTAATTACTTCAGGCAGCAGATTGGGGAGGGACAACATCAGCAGTTATTTCTCATACCCACCCCCCTGCCACCAGTATTCTATTCTGTTGGGCAGCTTGTCCCAGGCCCCACTTAACTGTCTTGCTGTACACAGGGAATGGGGAGGGCTGTCTTATCACCAGTTCAGATTCAGCTGGCAATCCAGTCAGCTTCTGTATATGGAATGAAAAGGGGCACAATTCTGATATGCGCCTCAGATAGCAAAACGTCTTGGGCCAGCCCTACCTGTAAGAGAGCCAGGGCAGGGGACATCTACTCCAAGCTTACCCACCCCACCCACCAGAAAAAGTCTCTAGGGAAACTACTCTGGACCATTTAAATTCATTAGCTAGCTACTGAGTCCTTCAGGTGGGTGGAGTCCCCATGGTGAAATACCTGAACTTTGTATATCTGCATATAAACTGAAATAGGAGACCTTGGAACCACCTACTTCCTGCTCATAAATAACTGTAGGTCTTGCAAAACAACCATATTTTTTTTAAAAAACAAACAAACATAAAGGTAGGAGGTTGCAGTTGTTGCCATTAAGGTAAGTTTTCAGTATTAATGACAACTCTACTCTATAAAAATTATGTCGTCTTTGCCTAGAAGAACATCCCAACTGAAATTAAATAACAGGATACATCCCAACTGAAATTAAATAACAGGATTATTTTAGATCAACTGCAATATAAATCTAAGGCCAAGGTAATGGAAAAGATTTGCCCTAAAGTTATCAGCACTAATTCATTCCACAAGAATTTTTACTAAACAACCAGGACTCAAACTAGCTTTTAAGAACTACAGTATTAAATTTAGTCTGCAGTCTATATACATATTGCAGATGCAAACACTGAACAATTCCTTGTAATTCAGCTCATAAGAATTGTATTTAATCCAATTTAGCAATGTGTCATATTATGTGTATTTTAGACATAACATTGCAGTATTACTCTACACAGACAACAAATAGTTAAACATCACCACAAAAATTAAAATGGGGGGAGGACAGAAAGCCATGATTATACTATGCCTACTTTTTAATATGACTATATACCGTAATTAAATAAAGGTGTCTGAAGGACAATTGTTTTGTTCCATCCCAATAACTTCCTCCTATATGTATTAAAAGGAATCTGCATTTATGAAATAATTACATGATTATTAATATTGTGGCATGCATTTTATTACCGAATTATTGGCTTAAATAAAACATGGAACAAACATTTTTCCTTAGAAACAGTTAGCATATCTGATGTATGTTTGTTTGTTTGAAATGAGACGTGAATTTAAACATCCCTCAAAAAGCCCTTTCTCTGGGTGATTTATTGATAGTACTGACCTTTTGGATTCATCAAGATTGCCTTCAGTCCTTATCGCCCCTGCAGTAGAAGCTGCTGAATAGATATTGGTAAAAGCAGCAGCAGCGGCAGCTGCTCCAATCCCTCCCTCCATGTTGCACACACAAGCACAGACTGCAGAAGCAGAGAGAGGAGGCAAAGGCACGAGAATCCAAGGAGGAAAGGGCTAAGGACCAAAAGTTGCTTCTTTTCTTCCCCCCACCTGCCCAATAATACAACAGACAGGCTGCTTTCCCCCTCTGTCAGGTTCAAAAATGCTAGCAATTAACAGAACCTCCTCAAACAATTTCTGGTAATAATTCTATCAGAGAACAACAAAAAAACAACAACCCAGCTTGCAAACACCAGGTTTCTATTCTTTCTTCATTCAGTGGTTCACATTTTCTTCAGGCTGCTACAGGCATTTCAGCTGTAACCCTTTCCAAGCTGAGGCACAGAGAGTTTGTTTTCCGCGTTGTAAAATGACACCGTAGGAATAGGCATTCATCTGGTGCGGACCTTTCCTGTGGCTAGCTGCAGATTGTGTCTAATTAGAATAAGACATTTAGAATTGAATTTGCACACAGCTCGCAACCTAACCTTGAGCAGGTCACTTAATCTCTTTGAAATTCAGCTCTTCCCCTATAAAGGTTTGACGCTGCACTGGAAAGACTATTAATATTTATGATGCACTCCGACACCTTCGTGTTTATGCCACTTTTTGAATTTGCTGCAGTGTATAAAACTTGGGTTGCAAGTTTTAATTGATGAATCAACATAAGCTATAGGACGTGATGGACTTCAAAGCAACTTGCAGCCCACAGACTGTAAGTTACAAAAATGTGCAGATGTGGTAACAGCAGGATACCAATCTTAGATGCCCCTCTTAAGGATGAAGATGTGAGCATTCAGTAAGTTCTGTTATAGTTGTTTGTAAAATATATGTACGCTGCCTTTCTGCCATGGTTGGCATTTAAACTGGTTTAACAGATCTCAAACACAGTAGTGTCATAAAAACTTAAAAAGCAATAAAATAAAATGCAGGCCCCTCAACAGGGGCAGGGAGTTCACATGATCAGTTGGTGTTTCCCATAGCACTTCCGCATATGTCAAAGAAATATTAAATGTGTAGTAGCAATTATAACCCATTTATATGGTTAATAATTGGAGAATATTAAGACCACGAAAACGAAAGAGTAGCCTGATAGATCAGGCCAATGGCCCTTCTAGTCCACAGTGGCCAACCAGATGCATGTAGGAAACCAGCAAGCAAAATTCCAGCACAAGAGCACTATCCCCTCCCACAATTTCCAGCAACTGGTATTCAGAAGCATTGCTGCCTCCAACTGTGAAGGTAGAGTGTAGCCATCATAACTAGTAGCTATTGATAGCCCTCTCCTCCATGAATTTGTCTAATCCTCTTTTCAAGCCATTCAAGGTGGCCATCACTGCCTCCTGCAGAAGCGAGTTCCATAGTTTGACAATGTGCTGCATGAAGAACTTTCTTTCATCTGTCCTGAAACTTCCAACTTCCAGCTTCAATGGATGTCGGCAACTTCTAGTATTATGAGAGAGGGAGGAAAACGTCTCACTATCGGCTTTCTTCATGTATTTCTTGCGTAACTTTATAAACGAGCAGCAAAGTCAGTCCTCAGGGAATGTGCAGGCGACCTTGGAACGGACAGCTCACGGAAGAACCCCGACCAAACCTAAGAGGAGGCGTGTAGTGGTGATAGGGGATTCCCTACTGAGGGGAACAGAAGCAGTGATCTGTGGGCCTGACAAGATGTCTCGGGAAGTGTGCTGTCTCCCCGGGGCTAAGATCCAAGATGTAACTGAACGACTGCAAGGAATCATAAAACCCACTGACAAATACCCCCTCCTCTTGGTTCATGTGGGAACCAATGACACTGCAAGCAATAGCCTCCAGAAGATCAAAAGAGACTATGAGGCTCTGGGCAGGAAATTGAAGCAATTAAATGCACAAATTGTCATCTCATCTGTCCTCCCAGTTGAAAGACGTGGCCCAGGGAGAGAGGGGAAAATAGTGGAAGTGAACAGCTGGCTTCGCAAATGGTGTAAACAGGAACGGTTTGGATTCTTAGATCACGGACTGCAGTTTCTTGAAAATGGACTTCTGGCAAGCGATGGGCTGCACCTCACAACGGTTGGGAGGAATGTTTTTGCCAAGAATCTCAGAAACCTCATCAGGAGGGCTTTAAACTGACTAATGTGGGGGAGGGAGACAGTGCTCCTGAAGGTAGGAGTCTATCAATTGATGAAGATGATCCTCCAAATGTCATAGACCAAATGGAGCAAACAGCACGCAGACCTAGTGGTGGGAGGAAATAATCCTTAAATAAGAGACATGGGGGAATGATTAATGGACTTCAATGTCTGTACACTAATGCGCAAAGCATGGGAAATAAACAAGATGAGCTTGAGCTCTTGGTACAGCAAACTAAATATGACATAATAGGCATCACTGAAACCTGGTGGGATAAGTCCCACGATTGGAATGTAATAATGCAGGGATACAATCTATTTCAGAGAAACAGACCAGACAAGAAAGGAGGAGGAGTGGCGTTATATGACAGGGATGTGTATACCTGTGAAGAGATCCAAGATTTAGAACCTCAAAGCCAAAGTGAGAGCATTTGGGTCAAAATTAAGGGAGAGAAGAATAACAGTGACCTCATTGTGGGAGTTTACTATAGATCCCCAAGCCAAACGGAGGACATAGATGATGCCTTCCTGGAACAGATGGCCAAGCATGCAAAAGGAAGGGAGATAGTAGAAATGGGGACTTCAGTTACCCGGATATTTGTTGGATGTCAAACTCAGCCAAGAGCATAAGGTCAAACAGATTCCTCACTGGCCTTGCAGACAACTTCATTGTCCAGAAAGTGGGAGAAGCAACAAGAGGAACAGCCATTTTAGATCTGGTCCTAACCAATGTTGATGACCTGGTTAGTGGGGTAGAAGTGGAAGGATCATTAGGCGCGAGTGATCATGCTCTTCTGAAGTTTACTATACAGCGGAAAGGAGCAGCCAAGCATACTAGGACTCAATTTCTTGACTTTAAGAAAGCCGACTTCATAAAACTTAGGGAAGTGCTGGGTGAGATCCCATGGACAGTAATACTAAAAGGAAAGGGAGTTCATGATGGCTGGGAGTTTGTTAAGAGGGAGATAGTAAAAGCACAACTTCAGGCAATACCAATGAGACGGAAACATGGAAGGTGCCTAAAGAAGCCAGGGTGGCTATCGAAAGAACTTTTAACTGAGTTAAGATTAAAAAAGGATGTGTACAAAAAATGGAAAAGGGGGGGAACCACCAAAGAGGAATTCAAACAAATAGCTAGCACGTGTAGACACAAAGTCAGAAAAGCTAAAGCACAGAATGAACTCAGGCTTGCTAGAGAGGTTAAAAGCAACAAAAAAGGCTTTTATGGGTATGTTCGTAGCAAAAGGAAGAACAAAGAAACAGTGGGGTCACTCAGAGGAGAAGATGGTGAAATGCAAACAGGGGACACAGAAAGGGCTCCTCAATGCCTTCTTTGCCTCAGTCTTCTCCGATAAAGAAAACAATGCCCAACCTGAAGAATTTGGAGCAAATGATTCAGCAGAGGAAACACAGCCCAGAATAACTAAGGAGATAGTACAAGAATACTTGGCTAGTTTAGATGTATTCAAGTCTCCAGGGCCAGATGAACTGCATCCAAGAGTATTAAAAGAACTGGCAGATGTGATCTCAGAACCACTGGCAGTCATCTTTGAGAATTCCTGGAGAACAGGCGAAGTCCCGGCAGACTGGAGGAGGGCAAATGTTGTCCCTATTTTCAAAAAGGGAAAAGAGAGGACCCAAATAATTACCGCCCAGTCAGTCTGACATCAATACCAGGGAAGATTCTGGAGCAGATCATTAAGCAAACAGTCTGTGAGCACCTAGAAAGGAATGCTGTGATCACCAATAGTCAGCATGGATTTCTGAAAAATAAGTCGTGTCAGACTAACCTGATCTCGTTTTGTGACAGAATTACAAGCCTGGTAGATGAAGGGAACGCAGTGGATGTAGCCTACCTTGATTTCAGCAAGGCATTTGACAAGGTGCCCCATGATATTCTTGTAAAGAAGCTGGTAAAATGCGGTCTTGACTATGCTACCACTCAGTGGATTTGTAACTGGCTGACTGACCGAACCCAAAGGGTGCTCATCAATGGTTCCTCTTCATCCTGGAGAAGAGTGACTAGTGGGGTGCCACAGGGTTCTGTCTTGGGCCCGGTCTTATTCAACATCTTTATCAACGACTTGGATGATGGACTCAAGGGCATCCTGATCAAATTTGCAGATGACACCAAACTGGGAGGGGTGGCTAACACCCCAGAGGACAGGATCACACTTCAAAACGACCTTGACAGATTAGAGAACTGGGCAAAAACAAACAAGATGAATTTTAACAGGGAGAAATGTAAAGTATTGCACTTGGGCAAAAAATGAGAGGCACAAATACAAGATGGGTGACACCTGGCTTGAGAGCAGTACATGTGAAAAGGATCTAGGAGTCTTGGTTGACCACAAACTTGACATGAGCCAACAGTGTGACGCGGCAGCTAAAAAGCCAATGCAATTCTGGGCCTCATCAATAGGAGTATAGCATCTAGATCAAGGGAAGTAATAGTGCCACTGTATTCTGCTCTGGTCAGACCTCACCTGGAGTACTGTGTCCAGTTCTGGGCACCACAGTTCAAGAAGGACACTGACAAACTGGAACGTGTCCAGAGGAGGGCAACCAAAATGGTCAAAGGCCTGGAAACGATGCCTTATGAGGAATGGCTAAGGGAGCTGGGCATGTTTAGCCTGGAGAAGAGGAGGTTAAGGGGTGATATGATAGCCATGTTCAAATATATAAAAGGATGTCACATAGAGGAGGGAGAAAGGTTGTTTTCTGCTGCTCCAGAGAAGCGGACACGGAGCAATGGATCCAAACTACAAGAAAGAAGATTCCACCTAAACATTAGGAAGAACTTCCTGACAGTAAGAGCTGTTCGACAGTGGAATTTGATGCCAAGGAGTGTGGTGGAGTCTCCTTCTTTGGAGGTCTTTAAGCAGAGGCTTGACAACCATATGTCAGGAGTTCTCTGATGGTGTTTCCTGCTTGGCAGGGGGTTGGACTCGATGGCCCTTGTGGTCTCTTCCAACTCTATGATTCTATGATTCTATGAAACTTCTATCCTATCACCTCTCACTTGCTTCTTTTTCTAAACTAAGGTTTCCCAAACGCTGCAACCTTTCTTCATAGGGGAGTCATTCCATCCCCATTCTGAGGGAGGAAAAAATACAACCTACTGGAAGTTTCACCTTGGAAGTTTGTGAAAGTGTTGTAGGGAAGGCAAGGGTCATCAAGCACATAGATCTTGCTCAGTATAACAGCTAGGTGAGCTTCACCATTTGTTCATGTTGTACAGTGGTGCCCCGCAAGACGAATGCCTCGCAAGACGGAAAAACCGCTAGACGAAAGGGTTTTCCGTTTTGAAGTTGCTTCGCAGGACGAATTCCCCTATGGGCTTGCTTCGCAAGACGAAAATACCTTGCGAGTCCTGAGATTTTTTTTTCGCTTTCCCCCCCCCCTTTATCTAATCTGCTAAGCCTTTAATAGCCTTTAATAGCCTTTAAGCCTTTAATAGCCGCTAAACAGCTGATAGCGCTAATAGCGCTAATCCATCAATGGGCTTGCTTCGCAAGACGAAAAAACCGCTAGACGAAGACTCTTGCGGAACGGATTAATTTCGTCTTGCGAGGCACCACTGTACAACAGTTTTTAGGCTGACAGAAACTTTTTTACACAGCTACACAATGTACTAAGCAGTCAACACTATGTATGCTGTGTAATATTGCTCAAATAGACCATAAAGCTCTAACAAGAAAAATGTTATGAGCCCAAAGGCCAGAATATTTTAATTCTAGACACTCTCATATTAGAAAATACCTAGCTAGTTTTATAAGGAAGGAGTTTACTGCAAACCTGTTTCCCTTACAGCCACTTATTGAAGGAAGATGCTGTAATCACGTGGAAGTTTGCCAATCACCCCAGGATACAAGCTTTCCCACTGAATCAATGGGGCCTTTGAACAAGTAATTTTGCATAGAATTGTGTATTTAAGGTGAAAGACCCATCAATTTTGACTATTAATCCAACATATGTTTCCCAAAGAATATTTGCCATATGATCTAGCCAGATGCTATGACTAAAGATGTTACTTTCACAGGTGTGTATTTGGCATTCTGAAAACGCCCTTCAAATGCAAGCACAATCTCTTGGACAACTCTATCCTCAATCACCTGGGTTACAGTTGTTCTTTGAGACAGGTATGTTTGATGCAACATCTTCAAATCAGAACTCTTCTTTTAAGTTTATGAACAGGTGCTTCAACAACTGTACCCTGTATTATTTTCTTCTTGCTGTCTATCTTGTATCTAGATAATCTGGACAATATCCTTTATGTCCCAGACAGCAACTCCCCAAACCTTAGCAACACGAAAATTCATATCTTACTTTTTGCTGATGGCACATTGTTGTCATCTAATTTTGGACCTGGTTTTAAAAGGCCAGGTCCAAATTGCTTACAAACAAATCATCTGAACCTAGGATCATGGTCAAACAAACCAGTATCAGGAAATAAGTAACAAACCACAATCTCTGAAGAGCAAAGCAAGAGCACCTGAGCTATATGCACCAGCATGCAGCTCATGAACAGTATGTTTTAGCTAACTACACATAATGGCTTAGTACTGAATACAAATGAGGCAATACTAGGTTTCCCAGGATAGCGAACATTTACATGTCAGCCTAAGTTGGCAGGAGTATATAAAAGACATAGCACCAAATCAAATAGTTTGCTTTAGTCAGCTGAAAGGTCAAGATACCTGGAGGACTGGATCTCCAGATTTTTAGATAGTGGCACTCAAAATGAGTTGCAGGCTAGATGAAACAGACTACAGCTTTCAACAAAAGCAAGTCCATGATATTAGCATAGTAATAGATGCTCTTATGCAAGATCATGTAGAATTCTAGGTCTTCTCAATAGCCATTTCTGGGAAATTCCCAAAGGAACTTCATCTCTTTTCATTTGAGGAGATGCTTATAGAAGCCTCAAAGTAGGTCAAGATTAGTTCTGCATCCTAAATTCAAACAATGAACAAAAACTTGCAGAATGCTATTCAAGCATTCTTCTTGGTGGCAGATGAAGAAAGGGTGAACTGAATGTTTACACAAAAGAAATAGGTAACAATCCTTGTTAGGGGTCTGGAAAAGCACATTATTTTAATATTTGGTTCACCCCACTCAGTATCAAGTAGAATCTGTATAGCAGACTGTTGCCAATATTATTATCAACTAATCATAAATGATAAGAGATTTTTTTCCCTTGCCCAGGCAACAGCAGTCAGGAAACACATCAGCTCAACCAGTCTGTCATATACAGTGGTACCTTGGTTTTTGAACAGAATGCGTTCCGGGAGTCTGTTCAACTCCCAGAACCGTTTGAAAACCAAAGCGCAGCTTCCAATTGGCTACAGGAGTGTCCTGCAGCCAATCGGAAGCCACGCTGGACGTTCAACTTCTGAAAATCATTTGAAAACCAGAACACTCACTTCTGGGTTTTGATCATTCTGGAGCCAAGGCGTTCAGCTTCCAAGGTACAACTGTACTAGTATATTTAGCAGCAGTAACAACGCATTGAAAGAGTCTCTTGGTGTTGATTTCTCTAGAAATCATACAGAAACTTGTGGAGGCGGAGCCAGTGGTGTGCTGCACATATGCACAGCTACACCCTATACCGGAAGTGTATACTCTAAGTGCTACTTTGAACTCAACCACTGGGGAAAATCAAAAGCTACTACCTCATTAAGTCCCACCTCATCAAGCAAGTAGTAGCAGCTGCTGCAAATGATGGGCATGTGAGCTGGTAGCAGTAAACAGAGGGTGGATAGAGAAGAGGTAACTACAGTAGTGAGAAGAGTGCAGCTGTAACTGCCCAATTCTTCAACTGGGACCAGCAAACAAGAGGCGACAACCTATGCCAGAGGTTATGTGTCCTTAGGACTAGCAGGTAATACTCAATTACTACATAGCGGTTACCATTTTTCCCAGCAATTTTTTTGTGCTGCCATCACAGGGATGGTGAACCTCTGGCCCTCCGGGTGTTGTTGGAATACAATTCCTATAACACCAACCATCAACCATGCTGGCTGGAGCTTCTGAACACAGTGTAGCCTACTATGTGCAAACATGCACAGCATCAGGCTGCATCCTCCTTATCATGGTTCTTAATCATTTTTATTGTCTGAATCACTATTAACATTTATTAGATTTCTTTCCCACCCTTCACCATGAGGTCCCAGGATGGTTACAGCAATTTAAAAATGCAATATTAAAATAAGTTAGAATATGGTTAAATGCTGGGAATGCATAGAGTGTGTTCACCCATTGTTAAAGATGCACATTCAAAATAACTTAATACTGTTTAACACTTGCACTGTACTTTCAGTTTTCAAAGTGCTTCAAATGCATCATCTAATAGCAATTCTGTTAACTGAGGCTGAGGGGAATCTCTTGTCTAAGACTACCAATAGACTTCATAACACAGGTGAGACTCAAACTAGGAACTTCCCAATTTGTAGCTTAGCTATTAAGATACACAAGCTTGCCTAATGTGGGATTACTCACACTCCTTTAACCACCCAATCATATTTTCAGATGGTAGTTACACATGGGAAGAGGGCAGATTTCACCCACCCATTCAATACAAGTTTATAATGTGATCAGTGATTCATATTAATATAATCAATGATCCATATTTGTGTTTGCATAACTCATGTTTGTGGGAGCATTAATGTTGGCAGCAGTGGTTCACAGGTTACAATTGTCTCATGTATGAAAAGGTAACAAGGTAGAAAATAGGAGGGGCTTTTGAACTCTGTTCTGTTGTACTGTCCAGCACATGCCAAGTTACTTGGGGTGGGGAAGAGTTAAACACAAAGTGTTACTTAGGGTGACAAAAATACCTTGAGATGAGCCTGGAGATGTACCCTCATTGTCTGACTCCTGGACATCTGTTCCTCCAACTTTATCATTTTCCAGGGGAAAAAGATAGAAGAAAGGGGTTGTGGCATCTGTATTTGGCAGGCAGGAATGAACAGGTGTTTCCTTTAGTACTATCTTTAATACAGTTGACATTTTAACTAATATTTTTAAAATGTTGCCTTCCTTAATCATTTGGGGCATGGATCCAAAATATAATAGTGGCTGCTGCACGATGGGCTTGTCTACAAATATGTTTTTAACACACCCATAATCACTGAAATTGGGGTGCCAAGACTAAAAAGCATTTTGCAAGCAATGAAAATACCTTGCATAAGAAGAGTAAGCAAAACACTCTTGAGGACTGCCAAGTACAACTTGCATCAATTATTTAGCTTTCATGGGGTTTACTCTAAAAATAAACATGGGGGGATGAGAACTTCCAATAAAAACTATTTGCATTAGTGATATTTTCTTCAGGTCTGTAGGATTCTAAAGTAAATTCCCTGATCACCAAAACAGATTATAGGCATATCATCATTCTTCTCCAAAAATAAAAGGTAGCTTTGCTACTGATGTCTGCAAGAAATAGACTTAAAAAATTTGTCACAGATGGCAACTATAAAAGGGTTGCAGTTCCAAAGCAGGACTACTCTTGCACTGTATTTTGTTATAAAGGGACAACCCTGAGATGGAAAAGGTAGAGGGTCAGTTGATACTACTTATTCTTTAACAGGATGTTAGCCTTAGTTGACTAAACAGCAAAACAGGATTAGTAACAAAACAAAAGAGCACCAAATCATGATGCCATGAACACTCAATTAGAAGTTCTGATAGAAATAAGCCAATTTTTGTGGTTTTTCCAGGAAAAGGATGGGTCTAGGGGTGATTTGACACTTCATTAAATCTAAAAATGTACTCTTACCTGGTTTCAACACAGTCACAAACAATAGCACCATGTTTAAGAACTCATTTAACACCCATCTAGAATACATCTGTATTATACAGCCATGTTTGCTTAACAGGCAAACTCGGCTGGTTGGGGAAACCCTTGAGATCACCACATAGATTAAAATCCTTAATTCAGATGGGAAGGAAGATTGGGGATCATGTATACAAAACTCAGCAGTATATAAATATTGAGAGCAATACATGTCCCTATATCTGGGGTTCCCAATTGCCATCACAGTAGATCAGACACTCCCATTAGCACTTGTCAAGGTCTCCTACACTTTCCAATCTTTAATATATATATTTTCCAACAAAAATGAGGTTGCAGTTTTTTGGCGGTGGGGGGTGTTGCTCATTTTGGGTAGCTGACCTGCTTTTTTGTCTATGTCTTTTTTGTTTGTGAGCATGCACTGCAGGGTTCTGAGCATCACCAAGATTTGTGAAATTGGTTTTTTATGATACCAAGAACACTTCTTTGATCTCCAAGGCCAAAAAGACTAGGGACTGCTGACCTACACAGATTTCCAAGCCAATATCGAAAAGCTGTGGTGAAACACAAGGCTCAACTGAATGGATGAGCCGCAGTAGCAGAACAGTTTGGGAACTGCGGGTTTTTTGTGTGCAAAGGGTTTTACTCCCAAGTAAGTTTACATATGACTGCAGCCTTAATATGGTTAATTTCAGTGCCACATTTCTAAAGCAACAGATCTCTGGACTCCATCTACTGTGGAAGTCATACTCTCCAGGCTTGGGTGTTCTTCTTAAACTAGGAGTGGCCCTATTGCCAGCGTTCAAAGACATACAGAATCATAGAATTGTTTTTATGATGTCATATGGTCTAGGAATGAACCCTAACACTGGAAACAAGTTCGGGGATAAGACCAAGCCCAAGTTATTATCAGAATAGTTTAGTAGCTGAGCTGTAACCAGTGGCCACCTGAACAATTTCAGCTGCCCACCCCCTGCTCCTGAACTCCATGTTTAAGCCTCAAAGTCAAACGCCAAAATGAAAACAGTGAAAATGCTAAGCAAGTGTTAGCAATATATTCAACACCCCTCCCTTCCAAGACAGATGATGCATGTTTCCAGTTCTCTGGTCTTGCAGCATAAGAAGAATTATACCTACAGCATTACTCACAATAAAAGGTTTTTGTCATCATCAGACGCCTGAGTCATCAATCACCTTCATAAGTTATTTACTGCTTTGCAGTGTTTGACCTCAATGGCAATTATTTCCTCGAAGGAGCCATATGTACCAATTCTTACACAGAATTCAGAGCACAGGAAAATAAACTTCTTTCCTTTTAAAAAAGCCGCCACATTTTCAGTGACAAAGTCTGCATTTCCGTAACAAACCTGTGCTTACCACACAGGAGCCAATCAGACCTGCTTAACTTCTTCATTTTTTGTGCTATGGAGAAACCAACCATGATCAATGGGGATACTGATACATCCAAACCAAGGATCATGTTTTGTACCACTCCAAACAAACCATGGGTTAGCCAATGCTAATTCTACTCAGAGCAGGCCCACTGAAATGAATGGACATTTCAGTGGGTCTACTCAGAGTACAACTTAGCTGAATAGAACCTCATAATAAGCCAATATTTGTTTTCTGCTTACCCATTGTGGTTTTAGCAAAACAGACCACACTTCCTAGTTCAGACATAACATAAGAGGCAAGGATCATGGTTTGGTTCCTTCATGCACCAGCAGTGCGGAGAAGTAAGACAGCCCAGATCAGCACATTTGCAGTATACCATTAACTATAGTTTACTGTGAAGCACAATGAGGTAGATTGTTTTGTGTTAGTGCACTGTCTCATGTATGAGCACATGCCGTGAAGCACAATCTTATAAAAAAACACAGATTATTTTGGACTTCTGGAGGTGGGCAAAAATGAAGTATGGATATACCCCAAAGGGAGCAAAATATTCCCAAGGTCACGTAATTAATGAAATCAAAATCAAAATGAGACAGAACCTCACACTAAGCAAAGTGGATAATCAACAAAGTTGGAAACTTTAAAAACAAAAACCTGAAGCTTTGTTTACTATAAATTAGATAAAGTTTTAAGGCACATTCCCATCTGAAACAAGCTTGTACAGAAATGAGTGGTAGCAACACAAGTACATAACAAACATAAGGGGTGAGGGGTGTTAATAGAAGCTGCTGCTAATTAAGGGCACATTGGTCAAACAGAGGACATTTTGTTTGTGGTGTTCAGGGACTGAAAATATATTAAAAAGGGTATTTCCTTCAGAGACCAGTGATATTTTTAATTAATAAAAAGGCTCTCAGAAAGGTAGAAATTACTGAAGATTTTGCAATATACAATTTGCCTCATGTAAGACATTTTAGGGCTGGCCCAACTAACACATATTCCAACCAAGCAGAAAATCTCCAAAAACTCCATTACAGTGCACAATCTGAAGCTGGCATCTTATTTAAACTATAAGCTTTCTGTTTTTCACCCACCATGAAGTGGTTGGAGAAATAGACAGATTTTCTGGCATTCTGCTCTCACACTTTTCCTACATATGTGGAAACCAATTGTGAAGCTGACACTGACTAGATGACTATTTCCAGATTTGGCTGTTCTTCAAACAAAATATACTGAACAATGACTTTTGCTGTGTGAGGCTGTGCGTGCCCGTCCGTCCATCCGTCATGCCTTCAAGGAGGCACAGCCTGCTTACTTCAGGTTCTTCCAATGCCACAGCCTTTGCCCTTTCAAGCAGCAAATGCTGGCATTTGTGTTTGCATGTAACCTTCCCTCACAGAGGGAACAAAAACAGCAGAAGCTTAAATACCATTGCCAAATATAATTTTTTCAACTTCATATTTTTATAAATAAAAAAATGGCATTTTACTTCAGGTATAAAAGAAGACTAGGCCCAGTGGCATGTTGACTCCTCTGTTCACTTTTCCTGTCATTTCTCTGGCCAACTGTCAGTGATTATGGCAGCTGTAGTCCAGGAAACATCTCCCCATCCCTGAGTTCAAGTGCTGTGCTAGGACTGGAGAGAACCAATTCCAAGAAGCTTACTGAGTGACCTCGGGACTGTCACTATCTCTCAGTCAAACGTACCACATGGGGTGGTTATGAGAATGAAATGGGGGAGGGGACTATTATTATTATTATTATTATTATTATTATTATTATTATCATCACCTCCACAATCACTTCAATCTACAAACCACCCTTCTCCCCAAAGTAGCCTGCAAGTATTTGATGGTTATGGGATTTACAGAAGGATGTGGGGGCGTCATACCACGTCACAATGAGAGAGATCAAGGCTCCAACAACCAATACAGTACAAGATTCAAGCCCCCTTATCATTCCGACTGAATGCCTGTCTTATTGAAGACTTCAACATGCAACCTTATACTCCGTAGGTATGACTTAAATCCCATATTTGGAGATTCTTCTGCTCACAGTTTCACTCAGCTGGATGGTGCAGATTGCTACGCCCTGGAATACCTTATGTCAAATTCTGATCTTTTCACACACAGAAATTCTCACATTGTACACACATTTAGAGC